TAATGGTATGTAGCACTAATGATGTTTGTTGCAGTCCTGGTAAAAAGAGTGAACAAACCCGAAAAACAGGCAAGAACGCCGTGGGAAGCAAGTAAAACTGGTAGAAAATGCCCTCACCCCTACTGACCAAGAGAAGGGAAGCCTGTAGAGCAGAAAGATTGTGTAAGCTTTCATGTCGGCAGCCCCAGCACCCGTCGGATGGCCTCGCAAACAACAATTTCTTCATAAATGCTTGATTTAGACTACCTTAGACTCAGCCTGGCCAGCCCTCCTCATCGCACCCAAGATGGGAGGTCCATCATATGCCCGGGGACCCACAGAGGAAATGACAGAGCTAGGATTGGTATCTGCTCATGCCCAATCCAAGTCTCTCCGCTAAGCAGATGGGATCTTGCTCATTCTCAAATGCAATCTTCTTATCACAGAATTTCAGAGTTGGAAGTGACCTGGGAGGCCAACTGGTCAACCTCTACCCAAACAAAAATGCCCACTACCTCATAACTCAGCGGCCAGCTGGCCACCTTTGCCTGAAGACCTCTCATGTGGAGGAAGCTCAGAGCACTCCGGACAGCCTCTTATCCTTGGGGATAGCTCTCACCATTAGGAAAAGGTTAGCTTCAATCTTCTAGAAGATTGGGTCCCTTTGATACTGTTTTTTTTTTGTTCTTTTGTTTGGTTTTCCTCTTCTGATCAAGTGATCAATTTTTTTATTTATTCACATTTCATTCAGTTAAAAAATTTAAATATTGTTAATATTTTTAATCTACACAATATTACACAATTTCATCTTTTTTTTTTGAGGGGAGAGAGATAATTGAAAATGTTTCAAGTATGTCATTCTATTTGTCAGCCAGTTGTGTAAATTTTACAATTTAAATAAGCCTGGCTAGCCACTCTTTATTTTAATATCTTCTTTTATCATTCTGGTTTTAATTACATCGACGCTTATATTTTCTTTCTTTAAGCTATTCTTTGTTTATCACTGAGAGAAGACAATTGTTTTCAAGGAAAAAAAACCCATCTATTTAGTTGGCTCTTAGTTATATTAATTTTAATTGTGTCCCTTTGATTCATCTCATTGCGTATATGGATTCATAGCCACAGGTACATTCAAATTTACAAAGAAAAACACGAAAATGCAAACAAGAAAGAAGACACAGAGAAAAAAAAAGTGGGTGGAGAAAAGGGTAGGGTAGAGATGGTGAGAGAAACTGAATTTATTAAGGCATTACTTCATGCCCAGTTCTAAGTGCTACTGATATGAATGTAAGCAAAAAAGAAAGACAGTTCCTGCGCTCAAGGAGCTTATATTCTAGTAAGGGAAGACACACAAAAGGGAGGATATGAAAAGCTGGGATTGGAGAGCTCATAGTGGGGATACCTGCACTGATAAAATCAAAAAGCAAAAAGAGATGGAACAGAGACAAAGAGGAGAGAGACAGACAGACAGAGACAGACACCAAGACACAGAGGGAAAGACAGACAGATGGAGAAAGACAGAGCGGGGGGGGGGAGGGAGGGAAGGAAGAAGGGAGAGGGAGAGAGAGGGGGAGAGAGAGAGAGAGAGAGAGGGAGAGATCTGGTAGAGACACAAAAGCTTCCTCTGTCTTCATTCTTATCCTTTCAGTATTCTGTGATTTTCACAAGACCAAATGCTTTTTCATCGGCTTCATTCTATATAACTAGGGTGAACAAGGAGCCATGGTCTTCGCTGATAACCCAGAGTTTGGTCAACATCAGATCTTGCTTCAGATATGAACCAGAGACTGATGCAAACATCAAGGCATGTGAATAAACTCAGGAAACAACCAAAAACAAACCACTGCCAAGAATAGCCACTATTTCTTTACTGTTCTACAGTTGGCCAGGCACTTTTCCTTTCAAGAACACCATGAAGGAGGTAAGTAAACAAGACAACAATGGTGTACAAGAATAAAGCATCTAATGTTCTTACTTCATCCTTCCTTTTATTGTATTTCCATGTCTCAGATCATCTTTGATTTTATCAATACAAGTATCCCCACTACGAGCGCAGACGATGCCCTCTTGGCCAGGTAGTGAGTCTTCAAGACTTAGTGGGGCCAAAAATTCATCAGCTAGAGGCCATGTTGGTGATGAGCCTCCTCACTAAATTTAGAGTCTGTTCTTTGGACAGTCTGTCCCTGGGCCTCCCTTGAAAACTTTGCTGGCTTAATGAGATCGGGCAGACCAGGTATTACATAAGCTTATACTCCAGTAATCCGGGGTCACCTCTACCCCATGACTGAGGTGTTGGAAAAGGCCTCCAATGGAATTTCACTTGCTTTTATTAAAGGCAAATAACTGTCTGAAATGTGAGTGGTCATTTTACATTCCTGCTATTTGTTACTTTCATGAGGCAAAAGTTACTCAAATGTTCCTTTAAAATTTTGTATTCCCTCTAACTTGGTTCGCTTCCATTAAAATGGATCTTTACTTGCGAAGTATTTATAAGATTAAGTTACAAGCACATATGGAAGAAAGATTTCATCCATATTCCACCCAAAAAAATATTAGCCCCAGAGAAGCAACTCAGTTTTCTTCTTATTTTCTAAGAGCAAGACTTTCATCCACTTTTGTTGCTGTTCAGTTGTTTCAGCCGTGTCTGACTCTTGGTGACCCCTTTTTGGGTTTTCTTGGCAAAGATACTGGAGTGGTTTGCCATTTCCTTCTCTAACCCATTTTAATGATGAGGAAACTGAGGCAAACAGGGTGAAGTGACTTGTCCAGGGTCACACAGTTAGTAAGTATCTTAGGCCAGATTTGAACTCAGGAAGGTGAGTCTTTCTGACTCCAGACCTCACACTCTATCCACTGCACCATCAAGTTTACCGTTCTTCTGCTTCAGGGGTTCTGAATTTGGGGTTTGAGTCTGTTTTGTGATGATATGTTAGATATTTCAAAATAATGGGTTTCCTCTGTAATGCTGCATACCGTATTATTAAAAACATGATTCGGAGAGGTGGTCCATGGGCTTACCAAACACTGCCAACAAGTTCCACGGCACATAAAAAAGGGAAGAACCCCACAGGCTCCAGCTTCATCCAAGCTACTCGACCAGGTGGATGGACACAAAGCCTTGGGGTCCACTGGGAGGAGAACCCAAATGCCAACTGACTGAATGAACGATTTGGGAATTGGACTGTTTTGATTTTTGCCTGGTTATTAATATACGAAGAATGCAGTTTACGCAGAGATTGCCTAAAAATTACTGGAGACTGGTAAGCTAGTCTTTCACTTTCCAGCTGGTCCTCACCATTCCACAGTGGGTGACTCTCGCCCAGGTTCAAAATCCTAACCTGAGATGGGATGGCCGGCATTACTCCTATTTTATAGACTGAAGAGAAAGGTAGGTCATGCAAATGAATAGAGTGCTGAGCTTGGCATGAACAAGTTAAAATTGAATTAAAATCTAACTTCGGACACATACTAGTTCTGTGATCTTGGAGAAGTCACTTAATCTCTGTCTACTTCAGTTTCCTAAACTGTAGAATGGGGATGGCCTTTTCATTGCACTACCCCCCAGGCAGATTATATTGCTTATAAGACAGTATCTCGGGGAGGGAGGAGGATGCTGGGAGGAATGGAATTTAAAACTCAAAACTTAAAAAAAAATTAAAAATTATTTTGACATGTAATTGGGAAAAAATAAAATACTATTTTAAAAAAGTGTTTCGCATGGTTCCTGGCACAGAGTAAGTACTTGATAAATGTTTGTTGCCTTCTCTCCCCTTTTCTTCCCTTCCCCCGCTCTCACAATTTCCTCCTCGGTAAGAAGAGGATAATAATAGTTCCTATCTCTGAAAGTGGTTATGGGGATAGAATCAGATGATATTTGCAAAGCACTTTGCCAGCCTTAAAGGGCTATCTATATCAATGTTAGTTATTACCATCATTATTCAATCCACAAGCATTTTGGTATCTGTGGTGCACGCAGAACTTTGATAAGCGCGAGGGACAGGGATACAAGAAATAAACTCATCCCTACCTGAAAAGAGCTTACATTCTAACAGACAAGGAAACTGAGGCCCAAAGAAACTCCAGAATTTGCCCAAGGTCAAACGGTTACCAAATTGTGGAACCCCAAGGCAAGGCTGGTCATCTGACTCCAAATGATGTATCATTTCCACCAGATCACGCAGCCTCTGTCCTTTACCCTGCTGCCTATGTGTGGAAATGAGACAATGTTGCATTCTTGCCAGTAATTACTTTCATGGGGAAAATGATCCCAATGTAATATGCAAAATTATGTAAAGCTTCTCAGTGTGAAATGCTGAATGATGCTAATCAGAAAAGGGAACCGGGGAAAAGTAGAAATTAGCTTAATTCTTTATTTCAAAGCTAACGCCAGATTGCCTGGCTTCACTATATATGTTTTATATATATGTATATATGTATATGTGTGTGCATATACATGTATATAGATATATATAATTATCACTTGCCATGGACTCACCAAAAAGCTTCAGACCTGGTCTTTCCCCTTACACTCACACCAACCACTTCAAAAGTCCTGGGCTTTATCTATTCTCTCTGACAGATTCCCAGAAAAACCCATGTATCCAATGATCCAAGAGAAAATATCTCTTTCTCTATCCAATGGCTTTTATCAGGCAATTATTTGATAAAGAAAAACGCCATAAATGAGTCATCATAACAACCCAAACAGTAGTTATCCTATGTGTGATGTTCTACCCATAAATCTTTGACACACTTTGCATACATTATCTCATTAATCTTCATAATATCTGTATAAGGAATCATGCGAGTGGACGGGTATAATTGCCCTCATTTGTACAGTGATATGCAGGCTTATTTAAAAAAGCACATTCATCTGATAAAAAGGACCCAGACACTCAGGGCTACTGCCCTAAGCACTAAACTTGAGTGAATCCATAGGGCATATCTTTCCCCAGCCCAAGAATTTGTGAGATGAGAAAGAACAACCAATCAGATGCATCAACAGCCGTACTATTTCCTACCTCCAGTCTATCTGTCCTCATTAATTTCTGGGCAGCAGCAGCTGCCGCAGCAGGTACTGGAACACCAGGATTCCCTGTAACCAGCATCGGTGCAGTTGGCAAGATATCTGCTGGGACCAACCCTGGGGAAACAGGTCCCAGGTAGGGGTTGAAGGCGGCTGACGCATTGGTGGCTAGGCTGGGGGCAACAGAAAACATTGGCTGAAAAAAAAAAAAGAAAAAGAACTATTAGCATTCACACCATTTAATAAGGCAAGTAGGTTGTTTACATTCTAAATCCCAAGGGTAGTGCATTATGGGTATCATTCCCATCAAGGTCCTTTTGTTTGTTTGCTATTTTATAAATAGACATTTATTTTGCCAAGAAAAGAAAAAAGTCTTACAAAAATCAAAAAAAAAATTACCTGCAAACATTTTATTTAAGCACTATGGCCTTGAAGTTCTGCACCGATTTTTCACCCAGATTTGGAACCTATGACACAAATAAGTTTTACTTGAAAAAGGATGGCTATGCTTTTCAGCGCTGAAATGCCTTCTCACCGCTGTCCAGCTCCCCAAGTCTAAACTGACTTAACCTGGAGAACTTACCAAAAAGAATTCTTAACTATGTTATCAGATATGCGTGAAAAAGCTACTTCTAAGTGTTCAGAGGTTATAAAAGTCCTATTATCTGAGATAACAAATAAGTTAGGGTACCCAATGGGTAACAGAGAAGCACAGTTCAGAGGACAATACATGGATATACCCTCAGGAAACTGGGAAAGGTTATATAACACTACCAAAGCGAGTCGGTAAACAAGCATTTATTAGGTGCTTACTATATGCCAGGTGCTCTACTAAGCTAGGGATTCAAAGAAATGCAAAGCTAGGGGTAAGTTTAATTGGTTTATCAATATATTTAGTTTTCAGCAGCTAGGTGGCGCTATCGTGCACAGAGTGCCAGGCCTGGAGTCAAGAAGAGGCATCTTCCAGAATTCAAATCTAGCCTCAGACACTTACGAGCTGTGTGACCCTAGGTAAGTCATTTAACCCTGTTTGCCTCAGTTTCCTCATCTGTAAAAAGAGCTGGAGAAGGAAATGGCAAACCACTCCAGCATCTTTGCCAAGAAAACCCCAAATGGGGTTGCAAAGTTAGACATGACTAGAAAAACAAATGAAAAAGATAATACTTAAAAACTATAAAGAATTCAATTTTTATAAATTTATTGCACTCTGAGGATAACCTTCCACACAGTAAAAATGGAAAACTAAAATATATATAATCCCTTTGTCTCCTAAAATACTGGATTTACTAGACCCATGAGTGACAAATTCAAGGTAAGGTTGTGATAATTCACATGTTAATTAACAGGGCTTTGAGGTAAGAAGTTTTACTGTCCCATCTAAACAGCATGACTAGTCTCTACCATAATTGTGAAATAAATCTATTTGAGGTTAATAAACAACCTTCCCTTAAATTAATTAATTCAAAGGGCATCTATTAAGTATCTATTATGTGCCAGGAGTCAAAGATCAAATTAAACATATACATACATACACACACACACACACACACACACACACACATCAGTGCCTGCCTTCAGAGAGCTTACAATCTATTGGAAAGAAATATTATGTACAAAGATAAGTAAATGTGAGATTCGTACAAAGCGCACAAAATGTAATTCAGGGGATGAGCCAATGGCTCCAGACCTGGGGCTGCCTTCTGCCTTTAATGGCTGAACAGCCAGACTCAATCCGCCCTTCTTCCACCTTCAACACTCAGCTGCCCGGGTACAGGGCAGGAAGTCAGGAGTGCCTCAGCATCTGTTTGAGCACCAGTCTGGCGATGACCTACCGGTGCTAATACTTCTCGAAGTAACAGGGCTGGTCTAAGCTGAAGCCATAATTTGAATTCATATGTCCAGGAAGATTCAAGCCAACGTCTGTCTTAGGTGAGTGTGTATTCTGTGATACCAGGGTCTAGAACCCTCCATTAAAGGTCTCGCCTAATGCTTCTTCATGCTGTAGAGATGGCCCTAGGTTTTCAAAGAGTATCTCAGTGGAATAAAAGCTCTGGCAGGCCCTGCAACCTCAAATGCTTTCTTTATCGGTCCTATGACTGACATACTGTATGCCTGTGGATTCGATTTGCATTAGACTGTAAGCTCCTTGAGGGCAGGGACTGTCTTTTGCCTCTTTTTGTATCCCCAGGGCTTAGTCCAGTGCCTGGCACATAGTAGGAGCTTAATAAATGTTTATTGATTGGTTGACCAGCCCAACGAAGTTGAAAGAAGATGATCACTAAAAGACATCACAAAGATTTCCCTTTCAGTCCAAGGCCCTTAATTAATAGATGAGCAAACTGACAACCAGGGGAGTTGAGGGATCTCCATGAGGTCACACAGTTAATAAGTATCTGAGGCAGGATTTACACTCGGGTCCTCCTGACGCCAAGCCCAGCTCCCATAAAAGGTGCCGCCCTCGATGCCACTGTGCAGAGAGGTTGGGATCTATGTGGGGAGAAGGGTAGCCACTCTGAGAAAATCAGGGAGCTTTCGAAGGATTTAAGTAGGGAAGGATAAAATAGTCGAGTGTTCTGTTTTCTATACCAAAAGGTTAAGAACTATAAGATACCCTGTGTTTTCTTTTGCAACATGGCTAATACAGAAATGTTTTGCATGACTACACATGTATAATCTGTATCAAATTGCTTGCCTTCTAAGGGGGGGGAGGGAGGGAGAGAATAAGGAAGTTAAAATTTTAAAAAACAAATGATAAAAATTACTGTTTACTTGTAATTGAGAAAAAAAATATATAAAAATTGAATGAAATCCTAAAGGGAAAAAAAAAAGAACTACAAGATACAGTATACAAAAGCCCTAAAATCTATTTTTTTTTCTGTGTTCATAATATTTAACAATACAAGATGCTAAGGAATTCAGTGGTTAAGTGAGAAAGAGCTGAGTTCAAATCCCACCTAAGAACCTTAGTAGCTATGTGATGTTACTCAAATCATTTCACTCGTTTGTCCCAGTTGACTCATCTGTAAAATGGGGATAATAACACATACCTCACAGGACTGTTGTGAGGATCCAATGAAAAAATGCCTATAAAGAGCTTTGCCAACCTAAAATTACTATACAAATGCTAGCTCTTGTTAGTGTTTGTTGATAATAGTAATAATAAAAGATCTTTTCAATTTGCCTTGGCTGCAAATTAACATGCTCTTCCCAGAGGGTTCCTGTGTCTCCAATGCATACGGAAGCATATATTTTGAATATTGTAGGAAGAGGATGAACCACCATTAGAGACACAAAAGAGGCTTCTGAAAAGAGCTGACTATAGGTAAAATGTATCCTAGGGTCCTCACTTTCAAATGTATGGAAGAAAGAGGAGGAGAGAAATGAAGGGAGAAAGGAGAAAGAGAAAGGAGGAGGGAGAGGAGGAGGAAGAAGAGGAAGAAAAGGGAGATGAGGGGAGGAGAAGAAGAATGAGGAGGAGGAGGAAGAGAAGGGGGGAGGGAGGAAAGGAGGAGGGGGAAGAGGAGGAGGGG